AATAATAAATTTTAAAAAATTATTTTAGGTGACAAAAAAAATTAAACATCTTCAGTGTTGTACAGGGATAAAGAAGTCAACAGAGAATTGTTGTCTGGACTAAGTAAGAAAAGAAAAAACAGGCAGCTCTAGACGACCCCAGATGAGACGGATTGACACAGTATAACTGGAGTAGTGAGGGTCAGTGTGTCAGAGACAGTGAGATTGGCTCAGGACAGAGCAAAGTTCAGCTGTTGTCACAGTCAACTCAGTGGCACAAAACAACGATGACAGTGGCACAGTCTACAGACAACTGTGTTGCTTGTCAAAATTCCATGTCTCCACCTCAACAAGATCAACAGCCCAATCACAAAATGGGCACAGGATATGAACAGTCACTTCACCAAGAAGACGTTCAGTGAACAAACACACGAAGAAATGTTCAAAATCCCTAGCTATAAGAGGGATGCAAATCAAAACAACTATGAGATATCATCTCACTCCAGTAACAATAGCAAAGTTCAACAGAGGAGCAAACAACAAATGCTGGCGAGACTGTGGAGAAACTGGAACCCTATTCACTGTTGATAGGAGTGCAACATGGTGCAACCACAATGGAAGACAGTATGGCGTGTTCTCAAAAGTTAGAAATACCATTTGACCCAGCAATTCCACTACTGGGAATATACCCTAAAGAAACCAGAACTCTCACCCAAAGAGATATATGCACACTCATGTTTATTGCTGCATTGTTCACAATAGCAAAGAGGTAGAAGCAACCCAAGTGCCCATCAACAAACAAATGGATAGAAAACCTGTGGCATATCCACACAATGGAATACTACACAGCACTGAAAAACAAGGAACAAATAAAATATTATTCAAAATGGGTGACCCTGGAGGACATTATGCTGAGTGAAATATCACAATCACAAAAGGACAAATACTGCATAATGCCAATGTTATAAAACAAGACTGACATGGGGGTTGGGGACAAACTAAGAAAAGAGGGGATAAATAACAAACACTGCATTGAAAGAGGTGAGGGAAAGAACTGTTTAAAAAGAATATATGATTAGGCATTATTTGCATGAAACAGTCCAGAATAAGAGGTGCACAGCAAAGTGGACTGAGAGTCTGGGGAAGGGCAGAAACTGTGCAACAATGAATGAATGGAAGTCCAAGTTTTCTGCAAGTTTCCTTAAAATAGAAATTTTTTTCCTCTGGTGGTTCAAATCTGCCAGCTGCTCTGCAGATGGAAGGTGGGCACTCTCTTCTCATACAATTTACAGCCTCTGAAAGCTGCTGTAGGGTCAGCTATGAGTCAATTTTGACTGCACAGTAATAACTGATGAGAAGTGAAAAACTACATGTGACGGGCTTAGCACAATGGCTGGCAAATAGTAAACAAGATGCAAGTCTACGTAACCCCAGGAGAGCAGAGATTTCATTTAGTTTTCTGACACATGAGGATCTAACACACAGCCTAGCACAAAGTAAACAGACCATGTCCTTAATCTCATGATTAGCACAAGTGGCTTGATTGGGATACTGAAATGTGTATAAGTGAATTTCTTTTTACATTTCTTTTATAGCCTACAGAGCAAATAGTATAGTGTTATATACATTAAAAGACACAATTTTAAAATTACTAAATGGATATAGATCAAATTCTTGGGTATGGTGGGAAGCCTAAAAAAGAAGGGAAAGGTATTGTATTATGGCAATACTGTGGTATGTTTTATGGCTGGAAAAAGACAGAGGAAACATTCTAGAAAATGAGAACAGAATGTTGGTGAGAAACACTGGACCTGGAAAACACAGTCACTGGGTTCTAGAGAGGGCTTCTTGCCATGAAAACCTCATCTCATTTTTTATTTCCTTCTCTGGACAAAACTAAGACCCTTTGCATCTCTGTCATTCTAAAGACATCCCAGGTCCTTCTGGCCAACTCTTAAATGTTTTTTCATCATATCATTTAACTCATTTCCCTCTCTTGGCCCTTCCATGACTTCCACTCTGCTACATACTTCTTATATCCTGACACAAGCTCCAGGTAGTTGGTGGGTGTGACATAGTTGTATCTCCGCAGCTCCAACAGCATCTTTTGGGAATATTGAGCCACTGACCTGTGCATGGTTACAAAGATCTGGGCCACCTTCTTGTGGATCTGGACAAACAAAGCAGAGAGTAAGAGCAAGTAGAGAATGGCTAGCTGGCCATGCGAGGGGCAGAGAGCGTGGTACATGAAGGGAGGTCCTCACGTTTTCATGAGTTCCCAGGTCTACTCCAACCAGGTACTTCTCAGCCACTTCCAGCAGGGCCTCATAGGGCCACTCTGAGAACCAGTTGATGGTCATGCAGTTCACTAAGGCAGGATATTGGCGGATCCAGTTCCTGAGATTTTAAAAGGCGGCAATGTATATCCAGCCTCAGCCTCAGCCTCCAGTCACCTCCCCCCACACTCCAGGGATCTAAATTCCCCTCCTTATGCTCCTCTACTTTCCTGTACAGATTCTATTTCCCTCCGAGTTCCTTCACTGAAATATCATAAATCAGATTCTTGGGTCAGAAAGACCTGGTTCTACACTTTCTAGGGGTGGATCTTACACAGGTGATCCAACCTCTCTGAATGTCAGTTTACTCATTTGTTCGATGGGGATCACAATATACACTAACAGGAAGTGAGGGGAGTCAGTAAGGAGATATACACAAAATGCTAGCCCAGTCAATTTGTATGATTCGTGTGGGGTTTTGTTTTTGGTTTGTTTGTTGTTGTTTTTTGTTTGTTTGTTTTTGTGTGTGTACTTCAAATCTAATCTGACTTGTACAGGAGGAGATTGCCCTCCTTCTCCAGCAGAGCATCTGGTGGATTTGATAATTCATGTTTTTTAAAATATAAAATAGTGATCTACCCTGTCTCCCCATACAGCTTTCTGGCCTCCCCACGTGCCAGAAGAGGGACGATAGCTCCTGGGAAAGCAGGGAGAACTTCCTCAATGGAAGCAGGGCCTCTGGAGAGGTGGGAGATGCCAGAAGTGCCCAACATCACTCATGGGCCTAACTGGGGAAGAAGTATGTCCCAAATAGAGGGTGGTGGAAAACCGCCTGAAGCCTAAAGAGGGGCTCACAGGAGTGCAGGCTCACCTGAAAGGGTCCCCCACAGGACTGAGGCAGAGCACGATGTGCAGGTGGCTTCTCACGCGCTCGATGAGGTAGGCAAAGAGGCTATCGGATGACTCAGGTACCCGCTCGGCCCGGGCCTGCTCTATTATGTGTGTCTGGATCTGTACAGAAGCCAAATAGCATCACAGGATGGAATCCCAGGGTGGAACCCGAGGGCTCATGGGGCTAGGCAGGGTTAACAAGAGGGGAGGTTTTAAAGGATGTCTTCTCTGTCAGGTTTCCCTCCCTTGGGGGACTATGACTGAAAAAGCAGCAGCTCTTCACCCCAATGAGGCAACCATGGCTTCCACCTCCCCCTTGTCCTAGTGGGGGTGCTAGAGTTGGGGTAGTGGGTAGCATGCATGGTGCACATGCCCAGCTGCTAACTGGAAGGTTAGGCCTTAGAGTCCACCCAGTGACACCTAAGGGAAAAAGATGTGGCAACTTACTTCTGAACAATCTTCCCCTGAAAACCCTGTGGAGCACAGATCTATTTCCATACACATGGGGTCCCAAGTTCATTGGTTTTTAGACCACCGTACCTGTGGTCTGACATTCTCTAGGAGCTAGTCTGAGAAGACTTAGCTGGTAGCAGGTATGGAAGGAATCATACCTCTTCAAACTCATCGCTCTTGTAGAGGTTGGGGACCTCTCCTGAGCTGAGGATGTTGTTAATGTCCTCTAGGAATGACTCATCAGCAATTTGGGTGTCCACAAAGAGGAAGGACGTGGCCTTGAGATCTACCCCAGCCTGGCGATACAAACGCTTGATATCTGGGCCAGGAGAAAAGTGGAGGAAGAGGGACAGGACACACTCTCTTAGGATGCCCCATCCTGTTTCTTATTTCTTTTCTGAGATTTCAGAATCTCAGGAATTAGGGATTTCTGAGGTTTTGGGACCCTAGTGGATGAAGAGTTGTGCTGACAACCCAAGGCAGGCTGTCAAATCCACTAGATGCTCCTTGGGAGAAAGAAGGTCAGTCTCTCCCTTGTAATCAGGAAGGTCAGCTCCTTCTGACTGGTTAGAAATGAGTGAGGGTGTCTTTTCCTCCGGCCATGACACACGTCAGCACAGGCCCGGCACATCTCACTATCTAGCTTCCATCTTTTCTCTTGCTATTGCACAAAGTTAGATACCTGGTAGTCCATTCCTAGCTCCCAAATCCCGCACCTCTCCCCTTGAAAACCTCAGCCGTACCTTCTCTGAACTCCTGCTTCCGATAGTGTTTGGTGACCTCCACCTGGAAGGTGATGTACTCGCAGATAGATGAAGCCAGTCGGGCCAGGCTCTGACGCCCACTGCCCCCGATGCCCAGCAACAGCATGTTGCCCCGAGGCTGTCCAATTACCCGAACTATTCGAGTGACTGTGGAGAGGGGAGGGCAGGAGTTGGTCGGGCAGCCGCAGAGAATCACCAAGCGCAGGGTTAGAGGTAGGGAGGGCTGGGATTGAAGCAGGGACTGAGAAGGCGTGGGCCCTGATAGCATTTCAACAGGAAAGTTCCACCATTAAACACAGCTGTAAAGGAAAGGCCCAACTTTTGCTTTCACACTAAAGTCAGAGAAAGTGGCATTCAGCGATGGGGTGATTTTTGTGGTGAGGTATGTGGGTGCTGTGGGTGGTGCAAATGCTTAAAATGTTTGGCTGTAACTGTTAGCTTAGCTGGCCATAGGATGAGTCCATGCAGAGACACCTCAGAAGAAAGACAGAAAAGTGGTGCCGAAGGGAAAGCCAACTTCAAGATTGATTGCAAGAGGCTTAGGTAGGGGTCCCGTGGCTGGGAGGTGGTGCAGGGGAGGGAGGAGGACGTGCTCACTGTGTTCAACAGCCTCTCGGAAGAGCACCAACTTCATGGGCACGGCGGCAGGGGACAGGTTGTACTCATTCAGGGCATTCTCCATGGCTGTCTTCAGCACTGTCAAATCAGTCAGGTCTTCATACACCTTGGGCTCCTTCAGGAAATCCCCTGGGTCATGGAAGGGGGGGTCAGAGGCTCAAATACCCAATGCTCTCTACACTTCCCCTCAGGATCCTAAGAATCTAGATCCCAGCCCCAACCCCCCATCTAAGCCCGGTCTCCAGAGTCTCAAGGACAAAGCAGCCCCACTTGGTAGCTCACCAAAGATGGGAGAACGTTTGTTAGGACAGAGATTATGAAACGTGAGGTCAAAGAAGGAGCCAAGCTTGTCACTTATGATTCCTAGGAACGCTTCCATGTCTGTTGCATCAACCAGGCGATCAGAGAAGACTCTGTTGGGAGGTAATTGGAAAAATGATCTTGGAATAAGGAGTATGGTCCTGTGGGAACAATTTAAATGCTCATCAACAGGTGAATGGATACACAAAATGCAGTACTATAAATACAGCGGACCGTTACACATTCATAAAGAAAAACAAAGTCCTGATACATGCTACATCAAGGATGGGTCTTAAAAACATAATGTTGAGTGAAATAAGTCAATCTCAAGAGGACAAATGCTAAATAAGCTCATGCTAATATTTTGGAAGTAGGAGTGGCATCCACTTCCTAAACAACATGCCTCTGGAAACTCTATGAACTTTGATAAATGTTGATTGATAGAAAGGCTTTTTTAGACCTTCTATTCATAGGGTCGCTATGAGTTGTGCTCGACTTGAAGGCAATCAACAATCAACAACAACATAGGCTAATATATAGAAACCAAAACTTACTAGTGATTACTAGGAGCTGGGGGGAGAGAGGGGAGGAGTTACTGACTGGAGAGCATTGAGTTTATACTGACGGTGGTGGAATACTCTGAAAAATGATAATGAAAATTATTGTACAACATGAAGAATATAATTAACATCACTGAATTATATATGCAAAAACTACTGACTTAGAAAATGTTTTGTGTATCTGTGGTACAATTTGAACAGAGAGTGCTGGGTGTGCTGGGCCATGGAGGGAAGTGGGGTTTGAGAGCCTGCATCTGGTGAGATCTAGGCAGCTCACCGAAAGCATTCATGGATCCACAGGCGGGTAAGGCTGTTCTTGGTGTCATGGAAATCCTTGTTGGCTCTCAGCATGCCCTGGAACACCTGAGAGAGAGAAGTGACCACGGGGATGGACAGAGGAAAGAGATTTCTTCCACAAGTTTTCAAACTAAAGCTAGAGGAACTGGAAGTCTAGGCTGATTAAAAAAATTATTGTTTTGCATATAATCATTCATACACATCATGTTTAGTACATGTACTTTGTGTTTTATAAAATTACTCATATGAATTAAATTTTATAAGTTATCACCCCATCTTTTGAAGTCCCCTTTGAACATTTCACTCCCCACTAACATTTGCTATTCCAGAGATTCTGCCCTCTTTGCCTTTTTCTGCCCCCTTTTCTTTTCCTCTTGAACATTTACACACATCCTGCTCAGTTACACTCCTAGTTTCACAATAGTGGCCTTATGCAATAGTTGTCCTTATGTGACTGAGCTAGCTCCCTCAGCATAATGCTCTCTGATCTCTCCCAGGTTAAAAAGAAATCCCATTAGACCCACTAGGAATTTACCCCGGGGAAATCAGAACTGAGACATGAATGGACATCTGCACATCTATGTTCATAGCAGCGTTATTCACAATAGCAAGAAAATTGAAACAGCCAAAATGCCCATCAACAAACAAATGGATGGGGTGATTTGTGTGGTGTAATAAGCCATTCCCTGGGTGGTACAAATGGTTAAGTGGCTTGGCTGTCAATAGAATCCACCAGGGGCTTGCCAGAAGAAAGGCCTATGGTCTAGGCCTGAAAAATCAGCCACTGAAAAACGCGTTGGAGCTCGGCTCTCTGATGTTCATGAGGTTGCCATGAATGCAAGCTGGCTGGGTAACAATTGTGGATTCCCTGGCATAGTGTTAGCCAGGCCACCGTTGAGATCAGAGTCCAGACAGGACTGAGCACCCTCTGCAAACAGAGAATTCTGCCCAGCCCCCCGGAGGAGATACTGGATGCCCTCTGCAAACAGAGAATTCTGCCCGGCCTCCCACCCGAGGGGATGCCCTGTCTGAACTTTGGTCTTCGTTTAAAGATTAAGCTTACCCATTGTTATGTTGGCAACACTTAAGTATAAGGAAAACATAGTCTCCAGAGATTCAACTTTTTTAGGATGATTGGCTTAAACTAAATTAAAACCATAGGGAGACTAAGAAAGGGGCCTTTTCACCGTGCTAAGCTTTGAGAGGACCTCTGCCTCAGCCTTCCCTCTTTTTCAGAATTCATTTCCTTGTGTCCCTGCTTTCTTTCTGCGTCCGGTTTGCAACAAACAATAGTGGGTTAAACTTGCTATCAAAGTTTCAAGGCCTATTCAGAGAAAACAATGCTTCCAAGGAGACTGTGCCAGGGCCAAAAGGGCGAGAGTTTTACCTTGGAGATATCTCGAAGGTTGAAGAGGTAATGGATCTTGGCAGGGGTGGGCAGGAAGCGCTGGACCACTGTATTGTACAAGTCTAAAGTAGCTTCTGTCACCACATTCCCAATGGGCTTCACTTCTTCCTCAAAGTCCTGAAGTTTCTGGTTGATCATGGTGCCAAATATTCGGATGATCTGGGACTCCTAGGAGTAGAAGCTCAGGTTCACTTCACAGGGCCCATGGCTTTTAGCCAGGGTCCAGTCTAAGATGAGACCAGCAAAGCATTCACCCTAGGCCCAAAATCTAAGGGAGCCCCAAAACTCAGTAACTAAGGTAAGTATATTTTACTGTAATCTTATAAAAATAATCCCTAAACCATCCATGAGTATACAGACAATCTCAAAGAGTTCACAATAAAACATTTAGTCCTAATAGAGAAATTGAGCAAAGTTGCAGGTATAAATGCAAAAGGCAAAAATTAGTTGATACTGAGGAATCTGAAAAGGAAATGAGGGGAATATCTCATAGATTACAGATAGAATTTTACAACCAATTATTGAGACTGCTCATGCATAACCAATCACCTCGTGGGATTTTGTTACTTGGTTTAGAGATTTAGGGATATGGTTTCATGGTTGTTGTTGTTGTTGTTATGTGCTGTCGAGTCACCTGCAACTCATAGCAACCCTGTGTACAACAGCCCTAATCTCTGACCTATCCTGTGCCAATCTCACCATCTCCAACACACATACTCCATTACCCCAGTCACTGAGTCAATCTATTTCATTGAGGGTACATCCCAATAAATGGGTTGAACATTTCTGTAGTGGCATTCACTTCCTAAACTGTAACATGCCTCTGGAAACTCTATGAACTTTGAGAAACTATGATAGTTATAGAAAAGATTCAAGTCTTATGTGTATAGGGTTGCTATGAGTTGCTTCACTCGACAGCAATCAACAACAAACAACTACTTTCTTGTTCACTGCAGAGTGCTTGGGGTCCCAAAACCTTGAAAGCAGCCATCCAAGGCACAACAACTTGTTTTTATTCACCTGGAACAAAAGATGGAGAGTCAGATACTGAATGTGTAGGCAACTGCCTTTGTCACTTATGCCGTGATAAAAAAAAACCCCAAAAGTCAAATTGACAACATCAACTTGAAATGTTAGATAGAAAATTAAGGAGGCAGTGAGGTCCTGTTAATGAAGAAGGAATAACTCAGAAAAGGTGGGAAGAATATAATCAATATGACGAAACTGAATGTATAGAAACTGCTGAATTGTGTATGCTCTCAACAAGAGCAAAATAATATATAAAGGAAAAAAATATCCATGAACAAAGTAACATTTTCAATGAAACTAAGCTCAAACCCAAACCAAAGCCCCTGCTGCTGATGGCTCTGACTCAGCCCAATGCGCCACTGGTTTTCTGAGGCTTTAAAGTGCAGGGAAGTAGACCGACCATCTTTCTCCCCAGGAGTGGCTGGTGGATTCCAACGACTGCCTTCTTCATCCTCACTCTCCTTCATTGGCGTTGAGTCAGAACTGACTCACAGCTGAGCCTCCATTGGGTTTCCATGTCTCTAAATCACAGGGATTTCTCTGGTGAACTAGCGGTACGAAGCTGTGCTGCTGTCCCACAGAAATATGGATTGAATCCACTAGCTGCTCCACGGGAGAATGGGCAGTCTCCTCCCCTGTGATTCACTGCCTCTGAAAGCCACTGGAGGGTCAGCTATGGGTCTGTTCAAACAGAAAAACAACAAATCACAGGAAAGGAGGCTTTCTGTCTTTCTCCTGTGCAGCCCCTGGTGGATTCAAACCACTGCGACGGGTGGCCTTTAGGTCAGCAGTGCAGTGCCCTACAGACTACAAAACGGAGAAACCGGGTCCACTACTCTGCTTCCAGGCTCCTTCAATTAAGATGAAAATAGTATTATTTGGGGCCTTTCCTTTGGCTTCAGGCTCCTAATTAGTGCAGGCTGGAATTGTATTCACCTTTACTTAAAGTGTCGTGTTTTGTGCTTCAGTTTTTTTCACACTCATTTTTGCCATTTAAAAATATCGCCTTAAATGTTTTATCTTGATTACTGAGTTTGTGGTGTTCCCTTACGTCCTGCTCCTGAAGCTGCTCTGCAAGGCTCTTTCCCGACTTGCCGGTTTAGGCCTAGGTAAAGCGATCTGCACGTGCATCTGGCTGTCCCAGCTCAAGCAACATGAAATCTCCTCCAGACCCTCTCTTTCTATAACCACAACTCCCTGCTGCAACTCTTCTCTGGAGTCTTTCTGTACCACCTTTGATCTGGCCCCTCACTGTGACAGGGATGGTCTGCCCTCTGTAGGCATCTTCCCCAGGAAGACCCTCTTCTCCCTCCTGTAAGGTCTCCCAGACCCTGTTCCACTCTCACTGTGGGGAAGGTCATGTTGATGATGTTGAAGCGACTCTGCAGCCTTGGTGAGATGACTGTCCGTCCACCCCCAGGAGGGCCCATGGCAGCCATCAGGAACATGTCCTAGAGCACAAAGAGAGAGAGAGAGATGGGAAGAGGAATGAGAGGAGGTACTAGAACAGACAAGGTGTTTGCAAGAGTTGGAGCAAGATAGTCCAGGGCGGAACAAGGAGAAGCTCAGGGCAGAAACAGAGTGGGGGAGTGTGGAGAGAGGGGGTGGGAGGGAAGCAAAGCAGAACCAGTATATGATCACTGTAAGTACTATGTACAACACACTGTTGCAGCAGCCAATGTTACCAAGCACAGATGATCCCTAACAGGCTTTGGCAGTGAAAGGCAAAAAAGCTTGATGCCATCTGACTGAACAGGGCTGAGGCCAAGCCTGAGCAGGGGCCGAACCCGAGGGCACCAACGAAGGAGGCCTGACCTGGGGGACTGAGAGGGCCCTGCGCAGCCAAGAGAGCCGAGATGGCTGGTCTACACTGAAGCAGGGCCCACTGGCTACACATTTCCTGATCCTGTTCCCAAGATGTAACCTACTGATTCTGCTACCTCTTTAGTAAACCTCATAACTGTGGAAAAATAGAAAGAAAATGGGGAAAAAATGAGGTATTAGACTATGTCAGGACTAATTTACAACAGAGTCTTCAGACAGTCGAAATGGATTTGTCCTTATTTTCTCATTGTAATCTATGTTACCCTAATCAGAAAATGCAGATAAAAGTAAAAAGCAACACTGTGGGGTTGCCCTCTAGACTTTCTCTGTCTTTTCCTCTCTTTTTTTAAATTTCAGTGTGCATATGTGTGCCTCTGCATTCTTTCTTAGAAACATAGGCACATATTGTTTTCATGCTGAGAGTCTGAGAAAGGTATACCACAAAATTCATGATGAAAAGGCAGCTGTCTCTTGGTCAAGGAAAGAAATAAACAAGAGGCTGGAATCTCGAGGATTCTTCAAGATCAAGGCAAGCTCCCTGGATCCCAACTGGGGACAAATCAACACCACGGAGGTGGTCTGATAATGGGGGGGCGGGGAGGTACTGCAATAGGGATTCAGAGGACCTGGCCACCTAGAAGTTGTAGGGTGAGAATCAGGATAGGATGCAAATATGGTGTAAGAGATCTGGAAAAGGGCTAGAGTTGGAGAATAGGATCCTTTGAGTTTAGGGCAGACCCAGGGCTGATAACTTAGGAGCCAAAGTCTGGATCCTTGAGAAAAAGCAGGACACCTAGCAATGTGAGAAAAACTGGGATTGCAGGTTTGTATCCTGGGCCCCCCCAGAGCGAGGGCTGAGTCTGTCATGAGAAAGAGCAGAGGTCTGAAGGGTGTATTGCTGGGATGCTTACCCGAATGTACTTGATGGTCTGCTTTGAACGATCGTACCAGAAACCATAGTCAATCCAGAGGCGAATCAGCTCCAGGGGTGGCTGGGACCCAAACAAGTCCTTAGCTGGCATATTCAGGTCATCCATGAAGGTGATCATGCTTTTGCCCCCAAACGGCACGTAGACGCTCTTGGTTCGCTTCTCCACCCTGCTCTCGATGATGCTCTGCACGTTGTTGGATGTGGTCTGGAGAAAAGGCATGGAAGGATGTTCTGGGTTCCCCCAGGAGGAATCCGGGGCTCGAGGGGAGCATAAAGCAGGAACTCAGATCCCAGGAGAAGCAGAAGGCAACAAGAGAGCTGGTGGTTTGTGCTTGGGCCTTGGGCGCACCTGAGCAGACATGTTGACAGTGAGCACCGACCACTGGCTGGAGGGCAAGGACTGCAGGACACTCTGGGCGATGGATGTCTTCCCAGTCCCCACAGGGCCCATGAGCAGGATGGGATTCTGGCTGGATACCAAAGTGCTTACAAGGTAGTTGTAGCGAACCGTGTCAACGGTGGGCACCATGATTTTATAGAAGGGCGCGCTAGAGGCGGAACAGAAGTGGGTTTCAAGAATCAGTGGCTCACTCGCCGTAACTCCCACTTCACCCTGTCTTTCAAAGTTTATCTTCTTTTTTATTCCTGGCACCACAGCTCTCTAACTCTGCTGCCTATTGGGTGTGAAGATCAGGCTTTCTCTTTAAGGACCCCAAATCCTGCTTCCTGTACTTCATCTCTTCTTGTTTACACCACACTTTGGCTTCCTGGCCCCTTTTGCCACAGCTCCCCTCACCACAGCCCCAAGCCCCACCCACTCCCCAGGGCCTGCTCTCACTTAGAAGGGTAGCGCCAACTCTTAGGGAGCTTTTCCCCAAACGATGTCCAAGTTCGCATTTTGGGGTCCACAAAATACTCATACACGGTGTCCTAAGGAGAGGCATGACTATCAGGTCACCAAAGCCTTCCTTTGGCCATCCCCAGACCATGTCTGAAAGGAAGGCGAGCTGGGTGGGCAGGCTGAAACTCAAAGCAAAACTGAAGATTGGGGATATGTTTAAGTTCTGAACAAAGAGGACAACTGGGTCTCTGACACCCCTGACCTTATTGGGGAAGGAGCCCTCGATCTCTCGGAGGTAACTGTCAATCTTCTTGCGGCCCTCCTCATCCACAGAGGCACACACCGACCAGATCATGCTGAACACAAACATCATCTCAATCATGAAGGCAGCGCTTTCACCATCAGCTAGGTTCACCTGCGAGGGAAGATGAGCCATGAAAAAAGTCTGAAAAGAGTTTTTTGTGATCACCACAAAAGCATAGGGCTCCCCCCCACCTTTTTCTGGTTCTATTAGGAAAACCCATCATTATCACTCACTCACTCACTCACTCACTCACCATCGTTAGGCCAGAACTGAATCAATAGCTTCCCCTCCACTAGGTTTCCAAAGCTGTAACTGCCTCGAGGAGGTTGCCCACCTTTCTCCTGAGGCTCTGACCCACCAAGAGAGGCACCACCTTTGAGTTATCAGAACCATTTCCTTACAAACTAGGCCACCAGAGTTCCCCTGCATCATTACAGAGAAATCTAGAAACTAAGGTAAATCTCAACTCTAAATCGAGGAGGTTTAGATACACTTGAAACTCCTTGTAGTTGAGCATATATTCTGACTTTCTTCTCAGTGAAATGAAAAAGGACATGGCAGAGATCCAGGCACATCATTTCCACCTCAGAGACATGCTCATGTGTCATCAGGGAGCCAAGTCCAAACACATTCTATAATTATAGTAAAACTGGAGATGACCTAAATGTCCATCAGCCGAAGATGAAAAAGAAAATGTAGTGGCGTTCTACCATGGAATAGTGGATGTTATTGTTAGATGATGCAATGAACAACAGGTCCTGTCCTGTGCTTGCCTCACACCCTCTGCCATGTTAGAGCTCGTTACCACAGCCACTGTGTCAGTCCACCCCATCGAGGGTCATCCTCTTGCTTGGTAATTCTCTAGCTTTTCCAGCAAGATGTTTTTCTTCAAGGTCTGGCGTCTCTCAACAACATGCCCAAAGTATGTGAATCAGTTTCACATCTTTGCCTCTAAGGAGACACCCTGGTTACACTTCCTTCAGGACAGAATTGTTTCTTCTTTTGTTAGTCCATGGTGTGTTCAACTCTTTTGAAGTTTTAAAAATTTATTTATATTGGTTTGCATACAAAATTCATATACACTTGTTTCTCACTTTCATCATTCACATTTGTTTCATATACTCATTCCCATACACTGTGTTTTATAAAATAAACCACCATTGATCTATGCCTACCATTACCCCGTCTTTTCAGGTCCCCACTAGGTCTTTCCCATTCCCTTCACCCCCTCCCTCTGCCCACCAAATTCTACAACCCTCAGCCCTCCTTCTCTCTTCCCTTCCTCCCTTGGACCTTCATACACATTTTACTAGTTATCTTTCTATATTCAATACTCTTTGCCAACACCCAGTTCAAAGACTCAATTTATCTTTGTTCTTCTTTGACTGTCAGACTTTCAGATGCAGAGGGAGTAACTGAAGCACCATGACCTGGATAAAGTGCACCTTGGTCTTTAAATTGGAATTCTTTCTCTTTAAAGAGGCCCTTGACAGCAGACTTTCCCAATGTGACATGTCATCTGATATTGTGATGTTGCTACCATGGGTGTTGACTGTGGATCCAAGCAAAATGAAGTCGTTGACAACTTTAATCTTTTCTCCATTTATCATGATGTTGCCTATTGGCCCAGTGGTGAGACTTTTTATTTTACTGATATTGAAATGTAACCTATATTGAAGGCTGTAGTCTTTGATGCCACATTCTTCTTCATAAAGTCCAGCTTCTTGAATGATTTGTTCAGCATACAGATTGAACAGGTATGGATTAAAGATATAACACTGAGGCTTTGCTTATTTTAAACCATACAGTGTTTCCTTGTTCTCTTCGGAAAACTGCTTCTTGGTCTATGCACAGGTTTGTTTGGGCTTATTTATTTATTTATGCACAGGTTTTGAAAGCAGCACAATTAAGTGTGCTGGGATTTCCCTTCATATCAATGTTATTAATAATTTGTTATGATCCATATAGTTAAACACTTTTTTGTGAACAATTGTTGTGCAGTTGTTTTTATAATTTGTTCTACTATGATTAGTATCTGATTAGTTACTAAAAGGTAGAGATAAAAGTGTCCCAAACATTTAATTTGCTGTTCCACCCCATCATTTCTGATATTAGCTGTTTCTTCTCTGCTCAAATCCCCCACTCTGTCTGTATCTTTTGAGTTCTGTGGTTCACTAGAAGATCTCACAAAAACTCAAAACCCATCAGGGAAATGGCTCACGTGACTATGGGTGACACAAGCCAATGCTGCAGAAACTAGTGAGCGACAGGCCAGGATCCTGCAGACTGTCAGCTTCCATGCAGCTGGATGCTATGTCCCAGGGGTGTGAGTGTCCCAAAAGAGGGCTAGCATTGAGCTGCCACGAGTTTATACAGGCCTCTATTAGGGTAGAGCTTGTATCTCCCTCTAATCCTATCTCCTTAATATAATAAATGCTTCACACAACGAAGGCTATGGATGGAAGAGGCACATTAATTCATTGTACAACAACAGTTATCATCAATTAAACCACTTGAACAGCTTGGTCTGGTCTCTGGCCTCCAGGCAAGATGGTAAATGCAGACTGTTTACAAGAGTGCATTGATTGTAAATCTACAAACCCTTGATGGTGTCCCACATACTTTTTATGCCTTCTTCATTTTCCTTCCTTCTTCTTACTGATTGTTCCTCTCATAGGTTAGTTTTGTAGACTGTGTCTCCACTATTAGCTCACTAATTCTGTCTTCCATTTCTTCAATTCTAATCTTTTGTCCTTCCAAGGTGCTATCTATAGCTGACATTTTAGTCTTCCATTTGGTCTTACACTGGTTTTGTGTTTGGGGTTCTTTTTTTGAGGGTTCCCCTTCTTGTTGTGTGCCTTTGAATCAGATCTGATAGGCACAGGAGGAGATTGCCCCTCCTTCAGCAGAGCATGTGGTGGATTCAAACCTAGCACCTCTGGGATTGCAGTGCAGCTTCTTGCTACTAGAGCTCCCTTGGTTTTGGTTTTTAAAAAAATTCTTCTATGCTTTCCTCGATCCATACAAGATATTTAACTGTTATTCTTTTAAATTCTGTATCAAGAAGTTCCAATTACTTTTCTTCCTCTGAAAGGTTTTTTGTTTCTGTCATTAGGTCACTTTTTGGTGTCATCTTATCCTGCTTTTTTTAGTGGTTTAAAGTGATTTGTTGCCTCCAAGACATTGTGGCATTACTGTCTTTTATTATTTTGTTTTGATGAATCTGATTGAGCTATGTAAGTGTGTTCTGCAGCTTGCTAGATTGATCCTTCTTAATGTTCCAGTGAGGGCAACAGAGGATGCAGGCATGTATGCTGTTCTTTGTTCACTGTTCTGTAGAGCAGGTGAGGGCAGGCTGAGCTGATACTGTGATTAGTCTCTCCCTGATCGGGTGGAACAGGAGTGAAGCTGCAGGAAGTGTGTGTATGGCTGGGATTTATGGATATTGGTGCTGTTTACTGGTGGGGTAAAGAAAAGGGGAAACAAGCAAACAAACAAATCATCCCTAAAAACCAAGATTAGCTGTTATTGTTGTTGTCATGTGCCATCAAGTCGCCTGCAACCCACAGTGACCCTATGTACAGCAGCTAAAAAAAAATAAAATAAAAAAAAAACAACAACAAACTGAGGGGAATGAAAAAGGGAAGGGAATCAGAATAAAAGGGGGAAAGGAGAAGCAAAGAAAAGAGATGGAGAAAAATGGAATAAATTAAAAAAAAAAGCAAGCAAATAAAACCATGAAAAGTAATGGGAAAGGGAAAATGAGAGAGAGGGATGGGGTGTGGTGGGGTGGGGTGCTGGGCTCTGCAGCCTTCACTGTGAATAGCATCTCAATGCTAAGAAAAAAAAATTCCTCACCACTAGACCAACAGTTAACATTATGATAGACTGAGAAAAGATTGAAACTGTCAACGACTTCATCTTACTTGGGTCCACAATCAACACAAGTGATACCAGCAATCAGGAGACATGCTGCACAGAGAAAGTCTGCAGTCGGGGACTTCTCCAAATTGTTGAAAAGCAAGGATGTCAGCTTGAGGATTAAGGTATCTGATTCAGGCCATAGTCTTTTTTCATCACTTGCTATGCATCCAAGAGCTGGACAGTGAATAAGGATAACAGAAGAATTGATGCTTTTGAACAGTGGTGTTGGAGAAGAGTGATGAATATCTCATGGGTGGCCAAAAGAACAGATATGTCTTGAAGAGGGTGCAGCCAGAATGATCCTTAGAAGCAAAGATGATAAAACTTTGTCTCGTATACTCTGGGCATGTTTCTAGAAGAATTATTCCTTGGAGAGGGACATCTTGCTTGAAAAGGTAGAGAGAAGGTCAGCACAGGAAAGCAAGACTCTCAACCAGGTGGACTGACGCAGTGGATTGACATTGCAACCCCAATGCACCAATGGGGTTGAGTGTTTCAGAGATTGTGAAGATGGCCCAGGATAGGACCAGCTTCAGATGTATTATTATTCATAGTGTCATACATGACTTGATAGCACCTGATAACAACACCAACAGAATGCTATTTAATTCAGAATACTGGATTTGCTCTTAAAATAAGCCTTGATCCACAAAATGCAGGTAGAAGATAATATTAAGACCCTATTTGGTACTCTATTCAATGAAGAATTCTTAGTTTGTCCTTTATGCTCACCCCAACACAGCTCCTGGTCCTGTATTCTCCTTGGATCCCCTGTTCCTATGAACATCAACATCGAGCCCTGCCTACCCAGGCCTGACAGGTCCATATCTGTGCATTTACAAAGGCCTTTCCCTTCACCAAGAATGTGCAACCCTCTTCTGTCCATTAGTACTCTTCCCCCTTGAAAAGACTGTTCTAAATGCTTCTCAGTAGGGAGACTTCCCTGCCTAGTCTGCCCTCCTTTTTACCTTTGTGCCAAGAACAGTGATGTTCTTTCCCAACACATTATATTGCAAGTGGTATGTATGGGGCTGCTAACCAAAAGGGGGAAAAAAGGTGAGGTAAATCTGCCCCCAGTAAGACTCATTGCATTGGAAATCTGATGGAGGCTCTCTAGGACATACTGATACAGGTAGTCACAGCTACTAATGACAGCTCCTTCATCTGGAGATGCACTTAAAGACCAACAAACAAACAAAAACCCACCAAAAATGCAAACATATAAACCATTTTTTAGATAGTGATTTAATCTCAACAGAAAATATGGATTCTGCAAACAAGTGCTGGCGAGATTGTGGAGAAACTGGAACCCTTATTCACTACTGGCGGGAGTGTAAAATGGTACAACCACTATGGAAGGCAGTATGGCGCTTTCTCAAAAAGTTGCAAATAGAAATACCATTTGACCCAGCAATTCTACTACTGGGAATATACCACGAAGAAACCCTAACTGCCACCCAAGCAGATATATGCACACCCATCCATCACATCTTTGTTCACAATAGCAAAGAACGGGAAACAACCTAAGTGTCCATCAACAAACAAATGGATAGAGAAGTTCTGGTATAGTCACACAATGGAAGCATTGAAAAACAAGAAACTCATGCAATATTAAACAAAATGGGTGATCCTGGAGGACTTTATGCTGAGTAAATTATCTCAGTCACAAAAGTACAAATACTGTATAGTGCCACTATTGTAAAACGGGACTGAAATCAGGGTTGGGGGAGATTGAGAAAAACTGGATAAATTATGTATAATGCATTGAAATAGATGAGGGAGAGAATTGTTTAAAAGGGATATATGATTGGGTATTATTATCATGACAGAGGTCCAGAATGAAGGCTCCATAGTGGAGTGGACCTGGGGGGAGGGATTGTATAACATTGAAAGAATTTTTCTTTTATTTTTCAAAGAAAAGAGCGAACTGGGGGCGGGGGGAGGGATAGACAGGGAGAAAAGTGCAACAATGAATGAAAGGAAATCCAAAGTCTCTGTAAATTTTCATTAATAATAATAATAAAAAAAGAAAATATGGATTCTGGATCCTCAGCCCATAATTCTAAACTGAACAAAAGCTGGACTTAATATAGAAACTGACTTGAAATTTTCTAAAATTCTTCTTTAGCTTTAACTGGGAATTCCTTCAAGTAGAAACTGGATCTGAGGCCTCAAATACTCAAAGGCTTAATATTTACAAGCTGTGGCCGACTCTGAGAAGAATGGGAATCCCAGAACATTTGATTGTGCTAATGCGAAACCTATACTTGGACCACAAGGCAGTCGTCAGAACAGAGCAAGGAGACACTACATGGTTCAAAATCAAGAAGGGGGTTCCTCAAGGATGTATTCTGTCTCCATACCTTTTCAATCTGTATGCAGAACAGATCATCCGAGACTCTGGGCTGTATGAAGAGGAATGTGGCATCAGGATTGGTGGAAGAGTCATCAACAACCTGCATTATGCAGATGACACAACCCTGCTTGCTGAAACTGAGGAGGACCTGAAGCGCTTGCTGCAGAAGGTCAAGGACTGCAGCCTCCTATATGGATTGAAGCTCAACATCAAGAAAACAAAGATTCTCACCACTGGGCCAATTAGCAGCATCAGTATGGATGGTGAAGAAATTGAGATAGTTAATAGTTTTAGTTTGCTTGGCTCCATAATCAGCACTCTTGGTAACAGCAGCCAGGAAATCAAGAGATGAATTGCATTGGGAAAGTTGGCTGTGAGGAACCTCTCAAGAGTACTGAAGATCAACGACGTCAGGCTGGAGACTAAGGTGCACCTGATCCGGGCTATAGTCTTCGCAATTATATCCTATGCATCAGAGAGTTGGACCACTAGGGATGATAGAGAATTGATGCCTTTGAGCTGTGGTGCTGGAGAAGAGTATTGAATATACCATGGCCTGCTAGGAGAACAAACAGGTTTGTCCTAGAAAAGGTGAAGCCGGAATGCTCCTTGGAGTCAAAAGATTCTGAAGCTTCGTCTGACATACTTTGGGCATGTTGCAAGGAGGGACTGGTGCTTGGAGAGGGACATCATGTTTGGGAGAGTGGAGGGGCGACGCAGGAGAGGAAGACCTTCGGTGAGATGGATTGATTCTGTGACTGGAGCGGTGGGAATAAGTGCGTTTGAGATGGCTAGATTGGCACAGGATAGAAAAGTGTTTAGAGCTCTTGTACATAGGGTCGCTATGAGTTGCAAACTACTCGATGGCACATAACAACAAAATTTACTTTTTAAAAGAACTGTTGTTGTTGTTGTTGTGTGTACTCTCAAGTAGTAACTGACCATAGCTGACCCTCCAGCAGGTTTTCAGAGGCATTAAATCTCACAGGAGGAGACTGCCCATCCTTCTGCTACAGAGCAGCTGGTGGATTCGAACTGCATGCCTTTGTGATGACAGTGCAATTCCTTAGCACTAAGCTACCAGAGCGCTCTATTCTTCTAAAAAACAGAGAAGTGAGAAGAACAAGTGAATCCTCAGCTCCTAAAACGTGGGTAGGAAACTATAGTGATGTTCGCACTGTGTTATGATACTCAGAATATTTCATCTCTCCCTCCAGACACACATGCATCTGCACAGGGAGACCCCACCTCACTGCCTCCACACCCATTGTGTCTCCCCCTCCCCAGGTGCACCCAGCCTCTGGTCTGTGTTCCTGCACTTACCCCATTCTCTGGGGTGGCCAGAGCTGAGTACAGTTTGCAGAGGGAGATAATGCCACTGTATTCAGGAAGTGACACCAGCTCATTGCAGTTGTCTTTCTTAAAGGCCAGTATCTTGTTGATGAACTTGTCAAACATGCGCTGAAGGGGCTCCACCTCAGCCTAGTTAGTATTAAATAAGAAAGGACTTTAATTGCTTGCATGCCCTGCACACCATGTTGGTTAAGCCCCCTCTCCTCTATGCCTTTGCTACCTTTGGCCTCTTCTCCAGCCACGACTTGACGTAGGGCTTCCAGCCCAGGTCAGAGTAGTCCATGTAGACCATCCCACAGCGTGAAACGGTGGCTGGTGAGGCCACTGACAAGTTCTCCACTTCAAACAGGAGGGACACCTGAGGACACACTTAGAGCCTTGCCTTTCTCTCCACACACTCACTGTCCAACTTTCTCATAAAACACCACACTACCTATGCCCTTGGTGTCTCTACCAAGCACAAAGCGTGGCGTGATAAACGAAGATTTACAGATGCGTTAGAAAACCTTCAAAGTGAAGGTCACTCTGAAAAGATCATTCTCCTCCACCCATTGTTTGAGTTGGAGGACACGAGTAGGCTTCCCAGGCATGTGACAAGGTCTTCTCTCACATGCCAGTGGACAAGCACCAAGAAGAGTTGCCTACCCAGCACTTCCCAGTACATGAGGCACTTTCCAATAATCGTCACAGACAAAGAAACAGGCTTTCCTGAGTTCAGGCATCCTCCCCTCTTCAGCCTTCTCCAACAGCACTCACTCTTCTCTCAGAGGTCTGGGGTCCCCCCTTGGTCCTCAGCTTGCCCCCTCCATTTGCTACCTCGTGGAGGCTCCCAGATGGCTGACTGCACCCCATACCTGCTCAGGCATTGCAATGCGCTCTCCATTGATGAGGGTCAACACCTTATTATCATCCATGACTGAGTTCATGCTCTCGATCCACAGTGTGTCCACAGGGCCATCAAAAATAATCCACTTCTCGTCAGGCTTCTCATCTATTAGCAGGCAGGGTGCTATATACCTGGGATCCTCCTCAGCCAGCCCTCCCTCCACACCAGGGCCCCTTGAGCTGTTTCCTCAGACCTCAGAACCTCTCAAGTTTTCCTCACCACCCTTCAAAGATCACAGGATCTGCCCTGCATACACCACAGTTCTTAGGGTACCTGCACATGCTGTCCGCATGACACTGGACAAGATGCCATCTGTCCATTCATTCGTGTTGAGGTCATATTCCCCATACAGTTCCCCCAGTGACAACGCCTTGGGGTTTAGAGGATACTCCTAAAAATGGAACAGGAGGACATTTTTTTAGCTGTCAGCAAGTAAAGCCTCGTGAGTTCTCCTGCTGTCTCCAGCCTTCCTCCTAAGTGCCCAGCCTTTCTGGCTCCCATCCCACCAGCCTTCTCAGGACTCAGGCATGCGCTTTCTGGATTGCACCCCCTCCTGTACACCTGTGTGTTCTTGCCCCCAACCTCCTGCTGCTTAAATCTCTGCTACTGACTTCAGTGTCCAAACTGCATACTTTAACAAGGTTGAAGTTGGGTTCCCCAGCGCGGCTCAGGGAAGACAAAGACAACTGCAGGATTCGCCAGGAGGTGGTCTTGCCGCTGCCGGTGCAGCCCACAATCATGGTGGAGTGGCGGGAGTTCTTGGTCTCATACAGCTGGATGACCTTGGTGAGCGTGAACGGTGTGGCCTGCAGGCCCAAAACTTGAACCTCCTGCTCAATGGTCTCTCGTAGCTGCAGGAGAGGGGAAGGAAAGAAATGAAGGAAAAGGTTGTTGTTGTTGTAGTTGTTGTTATGCGCCATCAAGTCACCTGTGACTTATAGCGACCCTCAACAGCTCTGAACCTTGCTCTATGCTGAGACAACCTTATTGTTTCTGATACACCTACTCCCAATACCCCTGTCACTGAGTCAATCCATTTCCTCAAGGGTCTTCCTCTCTTGCACTGTCCCTCTACCCTTCCAAGCATAATGTCCCTCTCCAAGGAAGGACTGGTCTCACCTTGAAATGCATCCAAAGTATGTCAGATGCACTTTCAGAATCCTAGCCTCCAAGAAGCAGCCTGGCTTCACCCGCTCCAGGATGACCCTGTTTGTTCTTCTAGCAGACCATTCAACCTCTCCAATGACTATGAGAATCATGTTCAAATTGTTGTTTGGAGTTTTGTGTTGTTTTTTTAAAACTGTATCAGGACCCTTAAGCCCTGTTAATCATCCATTCACTAGAAGCTGGCCAATTGCAGAGTCAAGACACTGTGCTTTGGGGCCAGCCCACTCAAGTCCCCAGCTTTCAGCTCTGTGACCCTGAGAAAGTGACTTCTCTGAGTTTTGAGTGTCTACATCTGTTAAATCACTTTCCTTGTAAGGTTGTTGTCTTAAATAAGACAGTCAATATAAAGTACAGCATCTGACATGCAGCTCTGCAAATTCTTCTCTATTATTAATCAACAAATATTTATTAAACTGGTACAGTACATGCCAGGCATGGTGTGAGTTGCTGAGGATACAACTAAAAACACCACTGTGTTCATCCAGCTGTGGTCTTAGTCTGATAGGAGATTCAGTCAGTTTTTCATTTAGTTCTATCAATTTTATTTCATGCATTTTGCAGGTACATTTTTAAGCCCATACAAGTCATCATCTAAGATGCAATTGGGGCAGCTTGAACCCATCTAGCAAGTCTGCAGAAAAAGGCCTGGTGATCGGCTCCCATGGAGAGTACACCCCAGAAACCCCAGGGCAGCAGTTCTTCTCTGTCACATGGGGGCTTATTTAGCCAGAATCAAACAAATGACAGCTAACAACAAAGGTGCAAGATACGACAAGCCTCCGCTACATTGTTCACAGAGTCACTGTGAGTGAGTGTTGACTCGATGGCACCTAACAACAATAATGCAGAACCATGATCCATAAGGATCTGTCTCATATTTACAAACACATAGTCAGCATAACCAAGCAATTTCAGGTTGTTGTTGTTGTTGTTGATACATGCCGTTGAGTCAACTATGACTCACAGCAACTCTATGCACAATAGCTCTGAAGCCTGCCCTGTCCTGAGCCAGTCTCACTGTCCCTGACACACTGACCCTCATTAACCCAGTTTCTGTGTCAATCCATCTCATCCAGGGTCTTCCTCTCCTACACAGTCCCTTGACCCTCCCAAGCATAATATCCTTCTCCATGGACTGGTTCCTCCTGGTAACATGATCAGTGTGTGAGACAAGTCTCAAAATCCTTGCCTCCAAGGAGCAGCCTGGTTTTACCCTCTCCAGAACAGACTTGTTAGTTCTCTTGGCAGTCCATGGACACAAAAATCTGTTTGTGTCTCACATTTCAACAAATGTGAAACAGAAATATAGGACTTTTAGGATAGCAGAGCACTACAGTCTATGCTATCAGAGCTGTTTATGAGGGTTGGTAAATTTCAGATGATTGAAATGGAGGAATTATACATCTAGTCATAATAGACATAAGCCAGAATTCAGCAATAAATAATAATTAGAAAAAGCTTAGAAGTAATATAATTTTGAATAACTAAGAAGTCTAAGAAGAAGAAAATATTTTAACTGAATGAGATAGAAAATTTAACACGTTTAAACTGCTGACATGATAATGAAAACATACACATTCTGGAAAACTAATTCTGTAACAGAAGAAGTAGTAACACTGAGGCCTCTTATTGACATTTGTGAGACAAAGATTTTTTCCCAGGGTGGCCCAGTGGGTAGCATTAGCCACTGGATGTGGGCAACATGAACGAGGTGCAGCCCACTCATCCAGCTGTGCTTTCCAGGCTACTGGTCAGTGGGAGCTCTGGTTAGGTAGCCTTTAAGCAGTTATTAAGCCAAAGGCACCTCTCTGATAGTTCAAATTTACCAGGAGCTCCATGGGAGAAAAAGGACAGTAGTCTCCCTAGTAATTCACAGCCTGGGAACCCAGGAGAGAGTCAGTTATGTGTCTGAATGGTAGTGAGGTGTTAAGTTTTGTTTTGTGGAGTGCACAGTGGAGGAGAAGCAAGACAGTCCAGAATGGAGTAGGATGGTGCGAGATTCCATCATGCTACTCCCTTCATCATTCCTATTCAACGTGTATGCTGAGCAAATCCTTCAAGAAGCTGGACTCTTATAAAGAAGAATGTGGTATCAGGATCAGAGGAAAGCCCATTAACATCCTGCGTTATGCAGATGACACAACCTTACTTGTTAAAAGTGAGGAGGACTTGAAATACTACAGCTGATCAAAGACTACAGCTTTCAATATATTGAAATTGTAAAAAATTTCATCTTGCTGGGATCCACAATCAACACCTTGGCACCAGCAGTCAAAAAATTAAAAGACATGTTGCAATGGGAAAGTCTCCTGTCAGGGACTTCTCGAAAGTACTGAAGAGCAATGATATCAGTGTAAATACCAAGCAAGAAGTGTCTGTTTCAGGTCTTGGTATTATTTTTTAAAATTTATTATTAATGTTAATGAAAATTTAGAGACTATGGATTTACATTCATTCATTGTTGCACTTTTCTCCCCTCCCCCCAGTAAACTACTCTCTTGGAAAAGTAAAAGAAAAATTATTTCATTGTTTTACAATCCCTCCCCCCAGGTCCACTCCACTATGCAGCCTTCGCTCTGGACTCCCATTGTGACAAGAATACCTAATCACATATCCCTTTTAAACAGTTTTCTCCCTCATCTGTTTCAGTGCATACATTACACAGTATACATTCTTGAACCCATCTTTCTCAGTCTCTCCCCAACCCCGATGTCAGTCCTGTTTTACAACAGTGGCACCATGCAGTATTTGTCTTTTTGTGACTGAGATACTTCACTCAGCATAATGTCCTCCAGGTTCACCCATTTTGAATACTATTGCATGAGTTCCTTGTTTTTCAATACAGCGTAGTATTCCATTGTATACCACAGCTTCTCTACCCATTCGTTTGTTGATAGACACTTAGGCTGTTTCCAACTTCTTGCTATTGTGAACAAAGCCGCGATAAACATGAGTGCATATATATCTGCTTGGGTGTCAGTTATGGTCTCTTTGGGGTATATTCCCAGTAGTGAAATTGCTGGGTCAAATGGTATCTCTATTTGCAACTTTTTGAGATGGTGCCATACCACCTTCCACAGTGGTTGCACCAAGGTCTTTGATTAAGTATGACAGAAGAATCAATGACTTTGAATTGTGGTGTTGGAGAAGAGTACTGAATATTCCGTGGACTGACAAAAGAACAAATAGATATATGTCTTATAGAAAAATACAGACAATGCATCCTTGGAGGCAAGAATGGTGAAACTTCATTTCCTATATTTTGGGGTTTTAAAAAATATTTTTTCATTTCATATACTATGGACATTATACTTGGAAAAGTCATTATGTTTCTCTTTCATCGAAAGAGAAGACCCTAAAAAAAAAAAAGAAAGAGAAGACCCTCAATGAGATTGACTGACACAGTCAGTCTCCCTGCAGCACTGTGTCAAGTGTACCAGAAATGATGAGGATAGCACAGGATAGGCGAGAGTTCAGATCTGTCATTCATAGGGTCATTATGAGTCATACTCAACAGCACATAACAATAACAATTCAGAAAGTCACACAGATTGACTTCTTTTTGGACTGTAGTTGATCATGGATAACTGAAACCATGGAAAATAAAACTGTGACAAGGGAAGTACTATTGTTTTTTTTTGGTTTTTTTTTGTTTTTTTTTTTTTAAAGGGAAGTACTATTGTAATCAATATCTGCTGGTTCCTTGTATGCACAAATTTTGTTTTCTCTATGATTTAATAATGATTGTGTTTTTATCTGCTTAGTATGTATTTAAATATTCTTACTCCTACTTCAGCTTGAAATTTTTTGCTAGTTGACTAAATTTCTCAAGATTTTTTGTTCCCATTAGTTATCTTTGTCTTTTTCTTTAAATTCTCCTCTGTCCTAAGCAGGTGCTGTAAGTCAGAACTGACTCCATGACAATGGGTTTTGGTTTGAAGTCAATAATGGAAAAAAGTTCTAAAAAAATTTTTTTTAAAAAAAGAAGTTCTCCTGAAACCTTGAGATTTGTTCTAATCAAGACTAGTTTCTCCCGCCAGGGGAACGCACGCCGCCGCCTGCCGGGGGGAATGCACGCCGCCGCCCGCCAGACCGGGGAACGCCGCGAGAGGGACCCGGAAGAGACCCGGGGAGAGCAGCAGCCAGCCACCTGCCGTGGAACTCCAGAGGAGCGAAGACTGCCGGACACTGTGGGACCCCCCTGCAGCCCACACCTGTGTGACCCTTAGCACACAGGGTGCTGCTGCATAAACCCCCAGCAGCACACAAGCCCTGTCCCCACCTCTTGGTGATAGTGTCCAACCCCTGCGCTCCTTGTCCCCTATTCCCTTGCTTTCCTCCCGTTCCCCTATCCCCCTTGCAGCCCCACAACCCCCACCGCAGCCCTGTGACCTCGGGGCACCACCTTGGATCCAGACATCACCTGGAGCTATCAGGCGAGCCGTTGAGGAACTAACCTGGCAGGAGAAAGGCCGGTAGGATCTTATCTGTGTTTATTGGGGCATTGCTGATTACCCGGGAGA